TTCTCACCCCTGTGACTGGTGGTCATCAGTCTGCCGCTCCCTCACCCCCCACCCCACCCCCACTGTGGTTAGGAGCACCTTCCTGCCCCGTGATTAGCACAACTGCTCTCTCCCCTCCCTGGCTCTGCCTGGCCTCTCCACGGTCCTCCACACAAGTGCACTGGGCTTTGCCTTCCCCAAACCTCCACCTGCATCTGTACCACGTGCTGCCTTTCTTCATGCCCTTACGGGAAAAATGTTCATGCTGCTACCAGAGCGCCCCCATCCCCCCACCCCACCACCATCCGAGCATTCCGTCTCATCCCTGGGACCTACCCCAGGACCTCACTCCTGTAATTATCCTCGGCCTTCGCTGATTGTCAGTTTTTCCCTCTGCTGCAGCGTGTGGAGACATGCTCTAGTTTCTGCCTCCACTGAAAACTCTTTCTCGATATTTCTCCGCCTCCTCCAGCTACCAGCTCATTCGTCTCCTTCCTTTCATAGGACAGATTTCCCTTTTCCCTCCGCAGTCCAGCATCTTTCCCAGCATCCCCTGAAACTGCTGGCATCAGAGCCACAGTGCCCTGCTTGTGGCCAGATCCAGGTCTTGTCTTTATCCTCTGCCTCTTGACCTCTCAGCAACATCTGACACAGCTGAGCATTTTCTCCTCAATGAAACACTGTCCTTTTGCCTCTCAGACACCTTCTACCTCACTGGCCATTTTTGCGGGTCTCCCTTGCTGGCTCCTCCCCTGGCAGGCCTCGAAACGTCAGTGTCAGTGGCTTCCTACGTAGATTCTTCTGTTCCCCATCCCTTGGTACTCTCATCTCGCCCCTGGCATTTAAAACAATCTGTGCAATCTGATGGTGCCCAGAAATGTAGCTCCACCCTGACCTTCAGATCTGCCTCATGACTGTATGTCGCACGTCTGTACTTGTCTCCCAGGCACATCAGTGACCCGCCTACTAACTGGGACTCTTGGTTCCTCACCTCCTCCCCACTTGCTCCTCCCTTAGTCTTTCCCATTTCAGTCAGTGCCACTCCCCTCCCTTCAGTTGTTCAACTGGAAAATTCAGCAGAGAATCATCTTAGAGCCTCATTTCCCTTCGCTCCCTTCATCTGGTCCATGAGCCAGTCCTGCTTATTGGCTCTGCTGCGTCTCGTCGTGCCTTCGTTCATCTGTCGCCTAGTGTACTGAAATAGTTTCCTGTCTGGGAAACTGGCCTCTCCTGTACTTCCTCTAGATTTTTTCTCCACATAGCAGCCAGAGGTATTTTTTAAATATAGGTCAGATCATGTCACCCCTTTAATTAGAACCCTTCAGTGGCTCCTGCTGAGGTCTCACAGGACATGGCCCCAGCTCCCTCGATGACCTCATCTTGAGCCACCCTTCACCCCTCCCACTACGCACCCTCACTCCCACTGCTACCCCTCTACCCCCATCCCCCCGCCGCCCCCAGGCCTTTCTGTTCCTTCCTCACACCAGATTCGTTCCTGCTCAGGGCCTTTTTTCTAGCTTTGCCCAGGAAGCTCCATCCCAGGCACAGCTGGCTCTGCGTTGCTATCCAGGGTTCCAGCCCAAGTTTATTTCACCTCAGAGAAGCTTCTACAGACCATCTGGTCTAAAGTGGCCTCTTCACCCCCACCCCTCAGTTTTTCTCTGACACTGTCCTATTTTCTTCACAGCAGTTATTGCAAAATGAGATCATATTGACCATTTTCTTGGTTTATCTATCTTTGCAAAAAGAATGAAAATTCTAAGAGTAGAGACCTCATTTATCTTGTCCACTGTTGTATCCGCAGCGTCTGTATCAGAGCGGGTATTGGGTAAGCATCTGTTGAATGAAGGGTGATCACACAGCTTCTGTCCTTTCAGTGGCTCCCTATTCCATTGAGAATAAAGTCCAAGTCCCTCGAATGGTTTATGATACCTCTGTGACCTGGCCTTGCTTATTCACTGACTCAACCAGAGGCGATCTTGCCACTCCTTTCTCCCTGGGCTAAAGATATATGGCAATGTCTGGAGACATTTTTGGTTGTCATAACCATGGGGGTGCTACTGGCATCTAATGGATAGAGGCCAGGGACATCACTAAACATCCTACAATGCACAGGACAGGTCCCCAAAGAATGATCTGGTCTGGCATGTCAGTACTTCGATTGAGAGCCTAGCTGTGTCTGTCATAAGCCTTCATCACACTTGGAGTTCCAGGCATGCTGACAGGCCATGTTCTTCCTAGCCTCTGAGCCTTTTTTTTTTTTTTTTAATGCCTACAGCACCTGGTCTTCCTAGGTGGTCTCCCATCCAAGTACTAACCAGGCCGGACCCTGCTTAGCTTCCAGGATCAGACGAGATCAGGCACGTTCAGGGTGGCATGGCTGTAGACTCTAGCCTCTGAGCCTTGGACTTGCCGATTCTCCACCCAGAGCACCCCTCCCCCCTCCCTGCTGCTGACTCTGTTCTTTGTGTAGCTGGAGTTTTGAGGCAAGTTAATTTTTAACCTTTACAACATGGAGTTAATCTGTTTTGGCAGTTTAGGGTTTATAAAGGTAACTTTAAGTTTCTACCTCAAAATGAAAGTAACTTCTATACACAAAGATTTTCTTCATGTCAGTTTTTTTTTAGATGAATAAAGCTGTTGTTACTGGGACTACAGTATTCTATTACTTAATCCACTGGCAGCAAATTAAAGGGGTGGATTAATAAAACACCTATGCAGTTAGAGCCTGTAGCCATAAAGTTAAAAGTTCTCAATTTTTAGATAAGATTTGAGATGTTTACACACATACTAATGACTTGTTTTTTGTGTTTTATGCCACAGTAAACTACTTTTTTCTCATTTTTATGATTAATACAAGCAGCTCTTTTACACTGCACCAAAAATTATGTAAGATGATGCCTTTAAGGGACAAAAATAAGGTTTAATAGAGCTTGCCAATTCATGTCATAATGTTTGAATACCGTAAATCGGAAGTTGGCCCTAGTGTTGCTTTCTGAGTTGACAGTCTACCTTTATTCAAGGGACAAAGCTTTGTGGCCCTGCTTTTGTCCTTCCCCAGCATTCCCAGTATTGCTGACAAAGGAGTATACTTTCAGGTGCTGGAATTTGTAAAGAACCCCACACAAGGATTACATAGTTACATAGATTTTAGTATCTATGAGCAACAGAATCGCAGCCCACAAATTTGTTTGAAAACTCCAATTTGCATTTTATGACTTTCAAATCACAAAGAAGACTTTTAAAATAATTGTGTGATGTCTTGCCTGTATACTGGTGAGTTTAGAGCCTATTTTAGACCAGTTTATAATATTAAGTAACACCACTTTCATTGATTTTTTTTTTTTTTTTTTGCAAGTCGAGGGTTTTGTGCATAGTTTTTTTAAAGCTTTCCAGAGGATAAAACATTTAAACAACTTTAAAGGATAAAAATATTCTCTCTGCCATTGTATTTACTGTGTTTCTAGCACTGTTAATTTTTTTTTTTCCTTTTTTTTTTTTGTATATTCTAACTGGGTAAAGGTAGGTGTTAGCTTTGAGAATAGTTAAGGAATCTTTCTCTTAGCCATAGCTTTATCTGAAATGTATGCATCAACCTCGCTAAGAAACCCGGACACCTGTATGTTTTGACTTACTCCTTTACTCAGTGCCTTTCCATCTCTCTCACCTTTCAGTCCTCTAGACTTACTTAACTCAGTTCTATAGTTATTTACTTTTTCTCTTCTGTCACAAACATTTACTGAATCCCTATTCATGGACCACGCTCTGTTCTAGAGGACAGGAATATGCTGGTAAGTAAAAGGTGATCCTTTTGGGAGTGACAAATTCTTAAGTAATTACATTTAATTACAAAATACTTTGGTGGTACAAGATTTTAAAAGTCAATTCTGCTCGGGGCACTGTAGAAGATTTAGAAGATGAACCACAGATGGGCCCGACGTATGGTTTAACTAACGATTTTTTGACATTATGATGGCTCAAAAGTGATACCCATTTAGTAGAAACTGTACTTTAAAATTTGAATCTTGATCTTTTCCTGGCCTAGTGATATGTGGTACAGTACTCTCTTGTGATGATGGACAGTGACAGAGATGATGTTGCCTACCTGTAGGCTAATGTAAGTGAGCACATTTAAAGTAAGTTAGGCTAAGCTGTGAAGTTCGGTAAGTTAGGTGTATGAAATGCATTTTCGACTTACAGTATTTTCAACGTAACCCCATCATAAGTTGAGGAGCATCTGTATTTAAACTGGACTCCTAGGCAGAAAAAGGGCTAGGAAGCTGGAAGTGAGAGTCTAGTTGGAAGGAAAAGAATGACTTAGTTAACTCTTCTTGGTCCAGAGACACGCTGGTCATCTTCATTTCCTACTTCATTCCTCCTAAGCAGGTAACCAAAAGTACTATGGCATAATCCTGCCATCAGCTATAATATTGTACTGCATTTTGAACAGAAAATTTGAGTTAGGTTTTCCATTCAAAAGAAATAATGAGCCACCTAAGCTAGAAGGTCATTAGGGTGGGGAGCTGTCTAATTATGTTTGGCTTCCCACATCTTTGAGCAGACCTAAATCTGCCATGGAGGTCGTGTATATCTCTTCATCTTTCTTGGTTCTTATCTCTAGACTTAGTATCTAAGAAAAAAAAAAACTGCTTTGTTTGAGGTATGTTTATTTTGGAGAGTGTATTTTTTTTTTTCTTCTCAAAATTGATTTAGTTGTGGTTAAGGGGAAAAACTGAAGAGGCAGCTCTCATAGAGATTGTATTTCTGAAGAGGTTCAAACTTTAGAAAGAAAATTACTGTAGAAAGAAGCCATCTAGCTAAGAGTCTTTATGTCCTTGAATTTCATCCTCAAGAACACTTATCTTGGAAAATGACTTGACTGGTCAAAGGAATCATAGGAAGAAGGTGGGAACAGGCATCAGGTTAAAACATTTCAAGTTATGACTAGAATAAAAGAAACGATAGCTATCAAAAAATCGGTCTTTTTAAAAGGATCCCTCTAAAATGTTGGCCACCATTAAGATGATCATTTTTAAAATTCCCGTTTTTAATTTCACAAATGGTTACCATGGTGTGGAGAGAACTCTTATATCTGGTGCTCTTACCATTACTAGTGTCACAGAGCTTGTGTGGTCCCTGCGTTAAGTGCCAATGAGTCACACTTAAATAGGATTGCAGGAACTCTGCTAATTGCCACACTTTCCTGACCCCTCACTAAATTCTTTACTTAGTCTTTCTCTCTTCCTGGACAGCATTTCAGTGGCAGGAAGAATGAGAATGGCTTTTCAAGTCCTGAGTATACAATATCTTGTCAAGATCCCGTGTTCTAAAACTGAAATCTTTTTTTGCTGACCATGAGAGCTCACCATGTGTACCAAGAGCCCCATTAGGAGAGAGAACATTGCTCTCTTAGGAGACGAGAACTTTGAGCAATCCTTTCATGGCCAGAATTCAGTTTATAAGTGGGGAGAAAGAAGCTGACAGCTTCTCCACGTAAGCTTTTGGTATTAGACTAGCTCACAGTCGGCCCCTTACCCTGTTGTCAAGCTCCTGTAATTTCCCCATAGTTGTGGGTTATGGTTTTGACTGGCACAAGGGCAATGGAATCACGTAGAAGGTTCTCAAACTGGATAGATACAACGTAGAACAGGATCCCCGTGGTGCAGGCGGCCATCGGGAGACCGTGTACAGGCTCCTTAACTCTTCCTGACAGGGTTATAGTTCAGAAAATTTAACCTTTTTTTCATCTATACTTAATGAAAGCAGTTTTACCTGGCACACACACTAAAAATACAAAAGCAGTAATCCCAGGGATCTGGGTTGGCCCATGATACACATTAAATATTGAAGATAATTCATGTTTGTGAAACTTTAACTCCAGAATTCATTTGCTGAAGATGTCCTTTTACTGCCTCCCTGAGAGCAGAGCAGTGCGGAAGCCCTTGAGAGATAGGCCCGCCTTGCGCAGCCACAGTAACTGGCTGATGGGGCGTCCAACGCCCCGCAGCCTTGCGCAGCCGTAGTAACTGGCTGATGGGGCGTCCAACGCCCCGCAGCCTTGCGCAGCCGCAGTAGCTGGCTGATGGGGCGTCCAACGCACCGCAGCCTTGCGCAGCCGCAGTAGCAGGCTGAGCAGCCGCAGTAGCTGGCTGATGGGGCGTCCAACGCCCCGCAGCCTTGCGCAGCCGCAGTAGCAGGCTGAAGACGTGGCCAACGGTCCCTGGCTCCCTTCCTTCACACTTTGAAGCCTACCTGCCACTCTCCTCCATTCGTATCACCTCTTGAGTGGCCATGAGCTGGGCTATGGGAGTCCTGCGGGCCAGCGGGAGAGTGGGCACTGCTAGAGCGAATTTCCTGTGTCTGCGGATGGCACCATTTCCCCGCCAGACAGCCTGCATCCCACTCAGGGGCGCTTGGCCCGTTATTCCCGTGTCCGAGATGGCAACTGTCAAGGGTGAGCTTATGAGTAATCTAACTTCAGAGGAGGGTGTTCATCGCAATAAGATCTCCATTATAGGAACTGGATCGGTTGGCATGGCCTGTGCTATCAGCATCCTGCTTAAAGGCTTGAGTGATGAACTTGCCTTGGTGGACGCTTCTGAAGACAAGGTGAAGGGCGAGACAATGGATCTTCAACATGGCAGTCCTTTCATGAAAATGCCAAATATTGTTTGCAGTAAAGATTATCTTGTCACTGCAAACTCCAACCTCGTGGTTATCACAGCAGGTGCACGGCAGGAAAAAGGAGAAACTCGCCTTAATTTAGTGCAGCGAAATGTGGCCATCTTTAAATCAATTATTTCTAATATTATTCAGTACAGCCCTCACTGCAAGCTGATTGTTGTTTCCAATCCAGTGGATATCTTAACTTACGTAGCCTGGAAGTTGAGTGAATTTCCCCAAAACCGTGTTATTGGAAGTGGTTGTAATCTGGACACTGCCCGTTTTCGTTTCTTGATTGGGCAGAAGCTTGGTATCCACTCTGAAAGCTGCCATGGGTGGATCCTTGGAGAGCATGGAGACTCAAGTGTTCCTGTGTGGAGTGGAGTGAATATCGCCGGCGTCCCTCTGAAGGATCTGAACTCGGACATAGGAACTGATAAAGATCCCGAGCAGTGGAACAATGTCCACAAAGATGTGATTGCCAGTGCGTATGACATAATTAAGATGAAAGGTTATACTTCTTGGGCCATTGGCCTATCTGTAGCTGATTTATCAGAAAGCATTTTGAAGAATCTCAAGAGAGTGCATCCAGTTTCCACCATAGTTAAGGGTCTCTATGGAATAAATGAAGAAGTATCCCTCAGTGTTCCTTGTGTCCTGGGAGAGAATGGTATTACCGACCTTATAAAGGTGAAGCTGACTCCTGAAGAAGAGGCTCGTCTGAAGAAGAGTGCAGAAACGCTTTGGAAGCTTCAGAAGGACTTAAAGTTTTAAAGTTGTTAAATCTGCCATTCTGAAGTTATAGGGTTGTATATGTCAAATTTTGAATAACCTTAAATTCCTAAAAGTTGGAAACAGTAGTGTGACTGCCCCATTTATTTAGCCCCCCAACTCTTATTTAGCATTCAGATTTTTTTTTTAAAAAAACAGTTCTTAAGCTACTTCATCAAAGAAGGTTCTTTTTGTACCACTGAGGTACCAGTACTTGCTTTGAATCTATAGGTAGTTGCCGTTAGGTCTTAAATGTAAGATGTAGGTGTTTGTCATGTTATAGAAATTCTGATTCTCTTTATTAAATACATGTTAATTCTTCCATTCTGGCTGGGTTATTTACTACATTTATTTGTATATTTAAAACGTTACAACTTTCTACAATATAAAAGTATACACACAGAAGTACTTTCTGTAATGGAGCCATTAGCTGCCTTTATTCTGTGACAGCCTATCAAGCAGGGCCTTTAAAAAGTCATCATGAAATGGTAGCTGCCAAGTATGTCTTTGTGTGCGTGTGTGTGTGCGTGTGTGTAGTGTGCACTCTTACGCCAGTGAAGCAGGATCATTAGGTTAAAATATGGAAATAACAGTGATCAGCTTGGTAGTTGTTATGAAGTATTTAATGCAGTAAAATATAAAGCTTTTAGGAAGAGTCCTGACAGTCAGACGTGGCACAGTTGCTGTCATTTATTTGGTAGAGAAAAACATCCCCCAAATTTTTCAGTTCTGAAAAATAAAGCCTGACTGAAATCATTTTAGAAATGCCTCTGAGAACCTGACCTGTTAGCACTTTAAATCAGGAAGCATGTTATGAATTGTTCTTATTGGGCTGAGCCTTAGTAGCAGAGTGGGCCCTGGCCCCACCCTGTAGCCCAGTTTAACCTTACATTAACAGAAAACTTTTGCTTTTGAATTGTGCCCTGTTGTTAGTCACTGTCATAAAAAGTTTTAATGAGTATTTCAAGGATTGTATTTCTCAAAAAGTTATACATTTCAATTTTATTCCTAAATCAATTGACTTTACTACAGATTCTAGACTTTATGCCTGTGATACAGTGAGGGTTTTAGAGAAAGTGAAGATGCATGATAGTACTAATAACTTAGAAAATAAGGTGAGTTTTTAATGTATGTTAACTTTCCTAATGCAATTGAATATTAAATAAATAATATGGTATGTTCAAACATATCTCAGGATCCAGGTGGATAGCACAGGCCTAATCAAAAGTGAAAGGTCTCAGCATCTGCCCTCTAAACTAAGCCAGTTCTGCTTTGTTGAATCTAATCAAGTAGACATAAGACAGCAATCTGCCCCCCAAACCATGCTGATCAGAGTTCTCATACTACTTCATTGAGAACAGCTAGAAATATTCTGACTCCCCAGGAAGCAGTGTTATGTGATGGGACTAACTGATGTACTGAGCACCCCGGAAGTGGGAAGGGTGGCGGTTCCAGGTACTTATGAGAGCTTTTTAAGCTCAACTGCACAGAGTTCCTCTTCTCCTTTTTCCAGCCCTGGAGTTTATAATTCAGTCATGTTTCAGCCAAATGTGATGTCCCACTGAAGAGCACCAGAGCATACCTTATGTCTATTTTGTAATTCTCTTCACCATTAATGTCAGTCAGGATAGTTTGGGTTATGCTACAGAAAAAAACAGTCTCCAAATGTGTGGCTTAAATAAAATAACAAATCTTCCTTTCTGTCTTATGGAAAATCCTCTGTGGGTTTACACGGCTCTCCAGGGCAGCTGCCCTCCACAGGCTGGCTTCGTCCCTCAGGTTGCCTTGATCTCGAGGTCCCACCCTGGCAACTCAGCTTTTCATGATCGCTGTGGAAAGGGAAGGGAGGCCCGGAGAATCAACACCTGCAGTTAAATGCTTCACCCTAGAAGCGACACACATTTTGTTAGCCGGAACTGGTCACATGGTTACCTAACTTCAAGAGGGTGGAAAAACATAATGTGCCCTGTATCCACAGGTGGGTGAGTACTGGCTCTTAGTAAGCATGCCATGCCATTCTAAATTAAATGGTCACCATTGCAAGAGGAGTATATTATATGTTTTTCAAAGTCATTTTTAGTGAAAGTTGGTAGTAAAGGTCACAGAGGTACCGTGTCTTTCCAGGGCACAGAACCAGAGTGATGGTTGGGAAAGAGCCGTGGACATCAGTCAGGCAGTCATACTTATTATAAACCATGTCACACGGATGGGTTAACCTCTCTCACTTCTGGCTTCTCATTTGTGAAGTGGTGACCCTCATTTCTGCCACGTACAGTCGTGAAGACTATTATTTAGTCGAATGCTTGGTGCAGTGCCTGGCACGTAGGTCCTCCCATATGGCAGACATTATTGCTTCTGTTCAGGTAACATTTATAGTCTTGTTTTATTTTATGAAGAAGCTGAATTTTCAGGTTCCTCAAAATTACCATTGGCACTGTAATTATTGACATGTCCAAAGGCTTTCTCAGTTGATCCCAGTTGATCAGTTGATCCTATAAAGCAGTGGTCCCCAACTCTTGTGGCACCAGGGACTGGTGCTCCTATGAGAATGTGATGCCTGACGATTTGAGGCAGAGCTGAGGCAGTGATGCTAGCGCTGGGGAGTGGCTGTGAATACAGATGAAGAAGCTTCACTGGCTTGCCCACCACTCTCCTCCTGTTGTGTGGCCTGGTTCCTAACAGGCCACAGACTGGTACCGGTCCGCTGCCTGGGGGTTGGGGACCCTTCGGTAAACCTTTCCTCGCTCTAACTCCAGCACAGAGGTCAGCAGCGGGCCTGCTCCCATGAGTAAGGAAATCGACAAAGTAAGGAAATAGTCAATTGCAAAGGTACTTCAAAACTTGGAGCTTTTAATTCCAATGACTGCCTATTTATTAGAATCAGTGATGTAAAGATTTTATGAAATTAATTAGGACATATCCTGAAGCTTTTAAGTAATTTTCCAGCACACCATGTACTAGACCAAAAGTTTTCACATTGTTTTTCCCGCTAACATGTGCATGGTAGGTAGGTGGCACAGCCTGTATTTCACTCCTGGCATACTGACCACACGGCCCTTCAAGAAGCTGTTGAAATGTTAATGAGAGTGACCTTATTAGAGATAGAATCTTGAATCTGTTCTAATATCCAAAGCATCAATTGTATCCAGTCTTCAGAATGTCCAAATTAGTGACAAAATACTTGCAATGTATTTCTCAGTTGTCAGGACACTCCATTTGAGAACGGCCTCAGACAGTGGTACTTTCTGATATTACAGTCCAGAGCTTTTGGACACAAACATTGGGACTTAAAGATGCGGCCCCTGTGGAGCAGCGCACAGCGGCCCTGCTCACAAGACTAGCCCCGTGGTCCACAGCCACGGAGATGTTCTTCCTGGTCAGGGGAAAGAGGGAAGGCAAGACCACAGGGCAGAGCTCCCAGAGTT